AGTTCCCTTATACCGAGTTGTTGACGAGTGCTYTCAGAGAGCAGGAGTGCAAGCCGAGTAGAAAATCGTTCGGCTGTCTGTTGTGATTGCAGCTTCTCGACGTCGAACCTTCCTTGTGTTTAATGGCGTGCGTTTCTTGCTGCACAGAGGCGAGTGCGAATCTTGGCTGCAACAAGATAGTGGTCCGAGTCTATGTTAGGACATCGGGCGCACGCACATCTAAAACACTGAAGACGTGTCTTCCGTCTATCACAACATGATCGATCTGGTTGGTGGTTACTCGGCGACGGAGTCTCTCTCCCATCACGAATTCCACACCAAACTTGCGCTCCTTTATATGGCCACTTATCCCACAGGACATCAACCAACTGGACAGCGGCACCTTCCCAATTAAGGGGCCGGACATTCCAGGTGTATGCCCTCAATTCGTAGTCCTGATTTCGTTTGCCATGGTCGTATTCAAAAGTGGGGTCTCTCATCCCAGGCTGTTGTTGCTTTTTCATTGGGGGTGTTTTTTTACGTGGCGGGTCCCAACCCCATGCAGGGGCTGTTTCGCCTTCTCACTTTAGCTCGCCTTGAAACGGATGTTCTTAGGCTACCCAGAGGATACTTGGTCAAGGACCGGAAGTCGTGAGCTACTTGAGTCATATGTAGAAGAATCGTTTCTGGTCACTCCCAAGTGAATGGCGATCAGAGAACTTTCCACACTTGCGTGAACTTCTTCACATGACTCCATCCTCCTAGTTACTAATGTTCATATATTTCAACCAACTCTAATCCCTTTATTTTGGATAGTTGAATTATATATTTAATTCCTTCCGTTTTATAATATTTGAGAAATAATTCTTTCCACTTATTTCCTACCGAAGCTTTGTTCCTCTTTTTTTTCTATGGTTTTGATGCTTAAAAAATTCACAATAACTGATATGTATTACAATTATAATAAATACATTGCCGTGTTCCATAAATCTTCAAAACTCTGCTCGCAGAATTCCACGAAATTCGAAAGACTGTGTCTTTTGAAAAAAGGTAATTGTAACTCCTTAAGGGCGTGATGACATCAAAAAGCCAATTAAAAGCCAAAATCCAATATCCGAGCATGCACTCGATAGCTTAAGTAGCTTGAAATGTGAAAGAGGTTAAACAAAATTGCACATAATTAAAGGAAATGAGGGAGTAAGCTGCTTTCTATCAATGCATACAGGCGCCTATATATTGCTATATCAACATAGGAATATGTATGGGTTGGTTTGCCTAATTACATGAACTAAAAGTTAAACACGAATTTTCGCCATTGGCAATGCATCTGTTGGTGTCATTCAACGGCAAAATCGGCTATAGGAGTCGTCTTAAAAGTAGGTCAGGTCAACGGAGCATAGAAGTGCTTGGAATATACATATGTATTATGTACTTCGCAAGTACATGCCTGTCAGCATATATGCATGCTCTTATGCACAGCATCACACATATGCAGCACATACTCGAAAGTCATTCAGCCTATAGCAACAAGCAGTGGTAAATAAGTCCCGCAGCAGCATCACTGAGCATTGATCGAAGTTATGTTGCGTATACGCTGTGTTGTACCTATTGTTACTTGCGATATATTTACATACATACTTATTTTTATTGCGGTAATATTACAAACATATATTAAATTTTTTGCTTGTCTGTTTAAGCTTTTATTACTCTTTCGCTTATTGGTTAAAAGCACATGTGAAGTTTGCTGTAATCCTCTCTTCAATGCTGAATTATCGATTGAGACTTGTTGAGAGAAATGAAAAGTTTCGGATTCGAAATGTGTTGGCTTCATACAGAGATTAATAATCGATTGTTAATATAGGCAGCGTCTACTAAACACATACGAGTGTGGTATTCCATCCTTTGTTTTTCTTATTAATAATCAATCAATCTATAATCAGTAATTATTGCAATCCATTTATTGGTAGCTTTTACCAGCGCTGAATTTACATAAATAGCATGAATTTATTGTAAGGTAACCCTTGATATTTGTCATATGTGCAAATTGAATTTAGTCACATATTTAGTCGTACATAGGTACATTAAATTTTATTGCCTTTTTATTAATGTGTTGTCCATACTCCCAGATTTACCATATTTAACTATCAGTTATGTAATAGTTTTATCGAAGTCATAACCCACCATTACTACCACTTGTATAAATTTCTTGTGTACTTCGACATCAGCCATTTATAACTTAAAAAAAAAGTATTATATTTTATTAGAAATAAGTTACTTTTAATTGAACATAGCCTTTCGGCTTTCCATTTCTCCTGTAATGTAGCCTAAATGTAGGCAATATTTATTTCTATAAACTCGAATGCTAATAAAAAAAAATGCCTACATTTTGACTGCA